AGTTTGCATTTTATTCACAATTCCATCCACCCATGCAATAGCTCTGTTTGAAATTATATTTTATAGCTCATATAATACAAAACAAATTAAGGGCCCCTGACCCCAAACGGAATATTGTAAAATGGTGGTACTAATTCATAAACCTACTTATTATGTCAAACACAAAAATTTAAATATGTATTTGATTAAAATTTCGTCCAGCAAGGCATTAGTACTTTTTCAAGTTCTATCTATGGTGCTCAAATTAGAAAAAACGAGGTAAGGGTATCCAATCGAAAAGGCATATTTTAAAATCGTTGTACTAATTTTGAAACCTTTGTGGGCGGGCGCATATCAATTCACCAAAGTTTTACCGCAATCAGTTACATGAACTATGCACTAAAACTTCACAAACATTCGGCCTGGTGAAAAAGCTGGCTTGATCCACTGGGGCGCAGACGCAATACTACTTTTTTTCAGTAGCGTAAGAGGGGCAATGGACTATAACCTACCCATCCAGACCTTCGCGAGACCCGGGTCTAGAGGGACTGGATCCCATTCAATGCCGAGCTCTTGGGTTCGTATGCAGGGTGATACGTACCACCCCCACGGTGGCGGTGGAAATTTTGACAGACGTCAAAGCTCTCAAAATCAGACGGGAAAAGGCAGTCCTAATGACGATGGAGCGATAACGACGAATGAACAGACAGGAACCCTCTATCAGGTACCGGGTACAGGAAAATGTTGTAAGAAGTACAGATTAAAGAGACTGTCCTTTATTGACCCGGTCCACGGTCTTGAGGGAGACTTGGCATTACCCAAAGGCAGGGAAAAAGTAAAAGTGGTCCTGGCACGTGGCCCCAACGAAAGCACTTGCCCCGATACGAAATACGTCTCGCCGTGACAAGTACCACAGCCACAAAGGCCAGCCCTCCACCAGAAATTTCAAATGCATTGCAAAGAACGATTGACGCTTACCCGGAGAACCTGGTCAAAATCTTCACAGGCAGCTCATGTTTCGCTAGGGAAGAACGCAGTGACTACGGTTCTCTCATCCAGTATCCCAAACAGATAACTCCACCCGAGAAGCTATCTGGAAGCCTCGATGTGGAGATCGAGGCAATACTAGTTGCCCTAAAAAGAGTCCACCAACGCCTTGCTAAGAAGAAAAACTTTCCGTAGATCGTTGTCTTCACAGACTGACGCTCAGTTGTCGAGCACGTAAAAATATTTACATAACACAACTACGACAAGCAGAGTTGTCGCTCAACTTTTCAAGGTCCCTTTTGCCACTTTTTTGTTTTTCCTCCCCCCACCTTGCATTGCAAGATTAATAATAAGGCAATATCAACATCACATCTTAAAGCCCTAAAATATCTGAGGCCCAAAGCAGTTGTAGGCATTGCTGAGCTCACAAGATGTTTCTAAGATTAAGGGACACCAAAATTTTTTTATTCTAGCATTTCTTCCGTTGCTCTCCAAGTGTAGAAAGTTCCAAAACCTAATATTAAGTATTTGCTAAAATGTATTGTTTTATTTTTAATTTAACAAAAATTTACTGGGGACTATGAAGATGCAATAGACGATATTAAGCTAGGGAAAATGCATACATACAAGGATGCCTCAATTGGAATGTATTTAGTTCATGTTAGGTTGAAGAAAGTAAGAGATATTCCTAAGTAGAGTCAATCAGGAGAAGACAATGCAGGTACGTTAAACTGGGGATCTGATTAATACCGAATAGTGTCGAAGTATCAAGCGTCAAAATTATTTTCGAAGTCATATGTGTGTAATACTTGCACACTACAGTTACCCGTAACTGCAGAATCTGATGTATAATTTGTTTCGGTTCGTGCATAATTTGACACATCTGGTTAGTTAATGAATCTAAGGTTAAGTGTATCTGAATACAGCGCCTGCGTGCGTGACATGTCCTCTTTTTCTTTCAGCCGTGCAACTTTCTAGCCATCGCACGACAACGACACATTCAACTCGACACCGACGGTGACCGCACAGGACAGGCCGATGATGAGTTTCAACACTTTCATCAAATCGGGAGAAGAGCAGACGGTTGTCCAGTTGTCTTTTCACTTTTTACCAGTTATCTTCTCTTGGTTTTTAGCCCACTTGTTTTATAGCCCATCGGTGTTTGCAGTACGTAGGAGGCCTGTTCAATAGATCAAAACGGTTTGACATTATGAGAACTCATGTACGAGGCTATGGGTGGTCAACCCTCAGCTTGACTCGAGCAGGTTGCGATAGAACTAGACAAATGGGATAAATGCAGGTTCTGATGGTACAATACGAATGGGATAGGTGCCGGTTATGATAGTACAAGACACATGGGATAGGGGCAGGTTACTGTAGTACAAGACAAATTTGATAGGGGCAGTTTGCGATAGTACAAGACAAAAAGGATAGGGGAAGCTTCTAGTAGTACAAGACAAATTTGATAGGGGCAGGTTGTGATAGTACAAGAAATATGGGATAGGACAGGTTACTGTAGTACAAGACAATTTGATAGGGGCAGGTTGTTATAGTACAAGACAAATGGGATAGGGGCAGGTTACTGTAGTACAAGACAAATTTGATAGGGGCAGGTTGTGATAGTACAAGACAAATAGGATAGGGGAAGCTTCTAGTAGTACAAGACAAATGGGATAGGGGTTGGTTGTGATAGTACAAGACAAATGGAATAGGGGCAGTTACTGAAGGTAAAAGACAAATGGGATAGATGCAGGTTCTAGTAGTAAAAGACAAATGGGATAGGGGCAGGTTGTGAAAGTACAATACAAATGGGATAGGTGCAGGTTCTAGTAGTACAAGACAAATGGGATAGGGGCAGGTTGTGATAGTACAATACAAATGGGATAGGAGCAGGTTCTAGTAGCACAAGACAAATAGGATAGATGCAGGTTCTAGTAGTACAAGGCATATGTGATAGGTGCAGGATCTAGTAGTACAAGACAAATGGGATAGGGGCAGGTTGAGATAGTACAATACAAATGGGATAGGGGCAGGTTGTGATAGTACATTACAAATGGGATAGGGGCAGGTTCTAGTTGTACAAGACAAATAGGATAGATGCAGGCTCTAGTAGTACAAGACAAATGGGATAGGTGCAGCTTGTGATAGTACAAGACAAATGGGATAGGTGCAGGTTGTGATAGAACAAGACCATTGGGATGGGGAAGGTTCTAGTAGTACAAGACAAATGCGATAGGGGTAGGTTCTGATAGCACAAAATAAATGGGATAGGGCCATGTTCTAGTAGTACAAGACAAATGGGATATTTGCAGGTTCTAGTAGTACAAGACAAATGGGATAGGGGCAGGTTGTAATAGTACAAGACAAATGGGATAGAGCCATGTTCTAGTAGTACAAGACAAATTGGATATTTGCAGGTTTTGATAGTACAATACAAATGGGATAGGTGCAGGCTCTAGTAGTACAAGACAAATGGGATAGATGCATGTTCTAGTAGTACAAGACAAATAGGATAGGTGCAGGTTGTAATAGTACAAGAAAAATGGGATAGATGCAGGTTCTAGTAGCACAAGACAAATGGGATAGGGGCAGGTTGTATTAGTACAAGACAAATGGGATAGATGCAGGTTCTAGTAGCACAAGACAAAAGGGATAGGGGCAGGTTGTATTAGTACAAGACAAATGGGATAGATGCAGGTACTAGTAGTACAAGACAAATGGGATATTTGCAGGTTGTGATAGTACAAGACAAATGGGATAGATGCAGATTCTAGTAGTACAAGACAAATGGGATAGGGGCAGGTTCTAGTAGTTCAAGATAAATGGGACGGGGCAGGTTGTGATAGTACTAGACAAATGGGATAGACGCAGGTTCTAGTAGTACAAGACAAATGTGATATTTGCAGGTTGTGATAGTACAAGACAAGTGGAATAGATGCAGGTTCTAGTAGTACAAGACAAATGGGATAGGGGCAGGTTGTGATAGTACAAGACAAATGGGATGGGTGCAGGTTGTGATAGTACAAGACAATTACTACGATAAATGCAGGTTATGAAAGTATGAGACAAAATGTTAAGACTTTCAAGAATACAAATTGTAATGTGTTGGCTAGGTTTTGTTTATGATGATTGCGTCTAGTAATGCAATGAGACGCAAATAACAGCGTTATTACGCCTATTGATTAAATGACATCAAATAATTGGACCACTTAGTTCTACCCAGTTGTTTTATTACGGATGATCTACCCAGTTGATTTATTACGGATGATTTTGAAATGGTTGTTAAACGTATTTTATTTAAAAAGCAAATGATGAAAATATTTGATCAAAAATGACTTCAGCTATTCCAGAATTGTAGTCAGGTGGTCCTAAGACTGTGGGTGGACTTTGTGGACTGGGTAGACTTAGTAGACCGGGGGGACTGAGTGGACTGGTTGGACATAGTAGACTGGGTGGACTGAGTAGACTGGTTGGCCAACCCACGGCCAACCCAAAAAAAAATTTTAATATATATTTTTTTATCCTAATAATTTTCTAAATTTTGAGTGCAACTTTAATAAGTTACTCTAGCTGTTAACATTATCATACATCACAGTACTTACTCTAGCTGTGAACATGTGTAAACAATACAGTACTTACTCTAGCTGTGAACATTTGGAAACATTACAGTACTTATTCTAGCCGTGAACATTTGTAAACATTACAGTATTACTCTACCTGTGAACATTTGTTATGAACAACTTGTAAAAAGTACCTTGACATTTCTAAAATGGCTATCGTTGAAAAAGAGCTGCGAATAATATTATCAAATGAAAAGAAAATTACCCGTTGTATTGAAATTTAGCTTTTCGCCTACGCAATTGATGTTCTGAAAATAGTTAACCCTCAATTCTTTATATTTAAATTTACATTTGTATTTAAAAAGGAACATACATTTCTATTTTGACATCTATAGCAGCATCGAGCTATGGCGCCCTTAAGGGGGCGAAATGTCTTTACGAAATTCCTTTACTTAGTTGATGCCCATGCCCTAACAGCAATTGGCTAAGCAAATTGAATGTCCCTATCTTGAGCAAGGTGATGATGAGTATTTCAGTCAGTCATTCAGGAAGTCAGTTATTCATCCAGGAAGTCATTCAGGAAGTCAATCAGTCATTCAGGAAGGCAGTCAGTCATTGAGGAAGTCAGTCGGTCATTCATAAGTCAGTCAGTCATTCAGGACGTATTGGGCAGGGCGTTGATGAGTCAGTCAGTCATAGAGCAAGGTTTCTATCATGTGTGTGTGTATGTTCAGATAAGATTATTGTTGAGATCCGTTGTAGTTTTGATCTACTGAAGAGTGTTTATTTTCATTTTAAATCCATTAAATTAGTCTCCCTTCTTTTAAGAATGGGTGTCTTGTTTTAAAGCGTGAGTATACTTTCTGTTTTAAATTAGGGTCTGTAGTTAAACGTTTAGAACCCCTGTAACTAGGTCTTGACGTTTTGTTTTTTGCCTGTTTTTTTTTTTTTTTTTTTTTTTTTGACCCCCACTTAATTGTCCTTTTGTTTTTTTTTTTTTTTTTTGTTTTTTTTTTTATTTTTTTTTTCTTTTTTTTTTTTTTTTTTTTTTTTTTTTTTTTTTTTTTTTTTTTTTTTTTTTTTTTTTTTTGACCCCCACTTAATTGCCCTTTTGGGTTATAACACGTAGAGTTAGAGATCATTTCATTCTCTATAAAGGTACTGTTGAGTGTTGCTAAGAACAAATTCGCCAGCTCACAAAACAGAGCCTTCTATTTCGTAGAGAAGTTTAAATATAATTGTTCGTGCCAGCATACATTTGTTTATAATTTTTCTTTTTATGTGTGTGTGTGTTCTGAACTCGCAATGTCTTGACTGCATTAAATTGTGCGTGTGTGATATATTAATGGTTGTGTGCTTTCATTTGTTTCTATAAATCCATGTACCTCTGGTCAGAATCGTGATCTTATTTTCTAATATGAATGACTTGCAAGCAGGGCTGCCATTCACTGTTTTTTTTTTCAAAACTCCCAAGATTTGGTCAAAATTTTGGCCCAAGATTTCCTAAAGTATGGTTGCCCTGCTTTCAAGTCAGTTCCTGGTGGTGAGCGATCTATTACGTTTCCAAGCAGTTGAATTGAACTCCAATCTTGCTAAAGAGGATTGGGGTGATGCACGAAGGTAACGTGTTTACTTACCGGATCACAACTGTCTGATGTTCGTGTCCCACGATTCGCCTATATCTAACTTTTGTGACGTCATTTAACGCGACAAGGGGCGTGGCAAGCCAACGCTGCTCCAAGGGCAGCTCCTGAATTTATGCAACCTCTTCTTTTTTTTCCTTCTAAACGTGTATATTAAAATACCGGTACACAAATTGCACATTACAACGTGCTATTGTGGCGCCCTTGGCGCAAACCCCCTCACCCTGATTCTACATTCTCTTAGCTCTTTGGAGAGAGAGGAGTGGGGGGAGGGAGATTTATATTGATTGATCCTCATTTTTTTTTTTTTTTAATTTCAGGAGCTGAGCGAATATCAAGATCCCAATCTATTGTTTCTGCTCCTCCACTGTTCAGGCATTGCGTTCTGCACAATGCTGCTCACAAAGGCGCTCCTGTTGTTAGCCTGTGCTGCCACCACGGTGCATTCTTTGGCATGCTTCTTCAGCTCCGATATCAGCTGCGATACGAGGAATCCGGGGTCATCCTACAGAATATCATGCAATGGCGAGAACTCCATCATTGGGCTGTTCACCGTGGAAGAGTACCTCATAAAGAGGGGTAAGATCTTGACGACCATGTGCATAAAAGTCGGAACAGTGCATGACTGCACATCCAGCGGTGAGTTGAAACAATGACCTACAAAATTGTTGTACGACAATTTATTACATTTTGTTTGCGTGACGTACATTTTGTTGCATGATTTTTGCATAACAACAAGTTCAACTTTTTGGAGGACAATTGCCTACATTGTATTTTATGACGATTGCCTACAGTGTGTTGTATTGTATGACTGTTGCCTACGTTATGTTACATAAAAATTTCCTACCTTATGTTACATAACAATTGCCTACCTTATGTGGCATGGCTATTGCCTACATTATGTGGCATGGCAATTGTCTACATTATGTGGCATGACAATTGCCTACATTATGTGGCATGACGATTGCCTACATTATGTGACATGACGATTGCCTACACCTTGCCTACACCGTCTTGTTGTTGTGGAATGCTCAACTACAGCTGGACTCGTCACTTGCTTAAGTGGCGATTGCACTTGTGGTCGACACGGTGCTCTAAAAAAATATTGTTCAAAGTTTGTTACTGCAATGGCATTTGGTGGTTCTGTTCTGATGGGGCCAACAGCAATGGCATTTGATGATTCTGTTCTGATGGGGCCAACAGCAATGGCATTTGGTGTTTCTGTTCTGATGTGGCAAACAGCAATGGCATTTGGTGGTTCTGTTCTGATGGGGCCAACAGCAATGCCATTTGGTGGTTCTGTTCTGATGGGGCCAACAGCAATGGCATTTGACTGTTCTGTTCTGATGGGGCCAACAGCAATGGCATTTGCTGGTTCTGTTCTGATGGGGCCAACAGCAATGGCATTTGGTGGTTCTGTTCTGATGGGGCCAACAGCAATGGCATTTGGTGGTTCTGTTCTGATGGGGCCAACAGCAATGGCATTTGGTGGTTCTGTTCTGATGGGGCCAACAGCAATGGCATTTGGTGGTTCTGTTCTGATGGGGCCAACAGCAATGGCATTTGATGGTTCTGTTCTGATGGGGCCAACAGCAATGGCATTTGGTGGTTCTGTTCTGATGGGGCCAACAGCAATGGCATTTGATGGTTCTGTTCTGATGGTGTTAACAGCAATGGTATTTGACTGTTCTGTTCTTATAAGTCAACTCTATGCATGTGATAGTTTAATTTTTTTATGTCATTCAATCTCATTCTTACATTTGCTTCAGAAAAGCTACTTGCAGTAATGTGGAAAGCCGTTCAATTCTTGAGAAGTGTCACTCAGAGGCTGATATTGCGAAGGCTTTATTTGTGTGGGCGTGATGGCCAGGACCGGTTTCTTGACCCTTCGCCGCTCGCGCCTCAAACGTATTCCTCTGCAAGAGATACGACCCTGTAATGGTCTTGCAGTCTGCTTGTCTCCCTGCTTGATTTGTCCCTCTATCTTACCTCATGTAGAAGATCTCTTAGCGTCATTCGTCATCTCCTTACAAATAATTTGTTTGCTTCTTGCTATCTTTGCGCCACTACTTCTAAGCATAATAGGTGTTGGAATAAGCTGTGTTTGTTTCCTGATAGCTATATCCACACCAACTTTCAAAATTTTTCTACCGAAAATGGTAGCAGAAACAAGCTAACCTATATTTCCCAGGCGGACTTGGGTACCGGTACTCTAATAAATAATGTTGGTCTTCTAGTAAGTCTTGTTGGTGTTCTAATAATTCTTGTTGGTGTTCTAATTAGTCTTTTCGTGTTCTAATATGTATTGTTGGTGTTCTAATAAGTCTTGTTGGTGTTTTAATAAGTCGTGTTGGTGTTCTTATAAAATCAAGTTGGTGTTCTTATAAGTCTGGTTTGTATTCTAGTAAGTCTTGTTGGTGTTTTGATGAGGGGTTGATTTTCATTGTTGTTGGTTTTTTCCTTTTGTTGTGTTTTTTTTCCCTCTTCACCCCTGTCCACTTTTGGTTATCACAGGTCCCTTGAACAACCTGGGCAAGGATTTCGTATTCAATTGTCCTGCCGGGAAGGCTATCACTGATATCCGGTACACATACGATGCTAAACAGGATGACGGAAATTTCCAGTTCGAGTGCTGCGCCATCCAGGGCAAGATTCCCACGAATTGTAAAAGCTGGAATGAAGGAAGCCGAATGATTCAGATGAGTCGCATGGCCAACTTCAAGCTGCCGGACGCCTTGAAACCAGCGATAACTGGAATCAATTCAACATTGGTCAAAAGGGAGTTGATCAAGGAGTTGGGCTCGGACTACAAAACCCGCGTGTACGATATTCTCATGTGTAGTATACCGTAAAGACATATATATATATATATATATATATATATATATATATATATA